TATAATAAAAAGTATTTTTTATAGTATTTAAAAAAGAATAAAATAAATCTTGATGAAAATATAGAGGATTTTGATTATAATAATATAGATAATGAAAATTTTGAACCAATTGCAAAAGGAGTACTTACTCCTGGAATACAAATCCGTAATCTTAAAAAAACATATAAAAATACTTGTTTTCAAAAATCAGTAAGTTTTTTTAGCTTATTAAATTTAATTAATGAATTATTATTGTTATAACATAATCATAGTAATTATAATAATAATATTTATTCTATAATAGACAGTTCAAGCTTTAAAGGGAATTTCAATGGATTTATATAAAGGACAAATAACAGCTTTATTGGGACATAATGGGGCTGGGAAAACTACACTTATGTCTATCTTAACTGGTAGAAGTTTTTTTTCTTTATAATAAATATATGCATTCAAGATTTTTAAATGAAATATTTTCTATATAGGCGTGATAAGTCCAACTGAAGGAAAAGTTATTATAAATGGTAAAAACATAGCAAAACATTTGCAATGTATTAGAAATAATTTAGGTTTATGCCCTCAAGAAAATATAGTTTTTCCTGATTTAAGTGTATTTGAACAATTAGAATTTTTTGGTCTGGTAAATATACATCCAAATAAAATAACATTACATGTAAATAATAATTAAAAAAATTAGAAGATATATATGGTGTTTTAGCTAAAAGGTACAAATAAAACACGGAAAGAAATCCAACAAAATGTTGACATTCTATTGGATAAATTAAAGTTGCGCGAAAAAAGAAATGTTCTTCCAAACAAATTATCTGGAGGACAAAAGAGAAGATTATGTCTTGGAATGGCGCTTGTTAGTGATGCTAATATTATAATTTTAGACGAACCAACTTCTGGAATGGATCCTGAAACTAGAAGAGATATATGGGATATTATATTAAAAATAAGAGGAAAGAAAACAATTTTAATTAGTACACATAATATGGAAGAGGCTGATATACTTGGAGATCGAATTGCCATTGTACACGGAGGACGATTAAAATGTTATGGCACATCAATGTTTTTGAAAAAACAATATGGTTATGGTCATATCGAAGTTACTTTATCAACAAAATCATGGTGTAATGCAGAAAAAATTATAAATAAATTTGATCCAAGGACACAACAAATAAATGTCGATAATGAGAAAATCGTTTTAAGTGTACCGAATACTGAAACTTTACCACAATCTTTAGATAATGTTGAAAATCAAAAAAAGAATCTGGGAGTTACAGGGATTAGTGTATCATTGATTACTTTAGAAGAAGTATTTTTAAAAGTAATTAAAAATAAAGATAATGAAAAGCATTTGAATGAATTATATTGTCCTCCATCACAAAAAATAGAAGGATGGAGTTTAAGTATACAGACAATTTTAGCACTGTATCATAAGAAATTGATATACACTAAGAAAAATTTAACTAATATAATATTAACGTATCTTTTACCACTTTTTTTGGTGGTGTTAACAGGCTTAAGTTATGATATGCCTAGTGATTCAACGAATATATTTCCATTAGAACTTAATATGTATAAACATCCAAAAGCTCTATATTCTTTTAAAAACGAAAGTATTGGAAAAGAAAATTCAATTCAAATAAAATATTTTGGTGGAATTACAGAAAATATAGAACAAAATATAAGCGTTACACAAGCTTTATTGGATCGCGCTGTCCAAAATATAGCAGAATACCGTAACAATTATATTGTTTCTGCAGAATTTAATATTTCTGATGGAATCTTATATGCTAATGGTTTTTATTCTGGAATTGCAATTCATAGTGTGCCATTAACTATAAATTTATTATCAAATGCATTAATTAAAAGTATAGCTGGTGATGAATATTCTATTCATGTCTCAAGCCAAAAATTACCAAATGCATTGTCTGCTACAATATTATACATGCCAGAATATGAATCTTTGACAAGAGTATTGATCTTTTGCTGTTTTTTCTTTCCTACTATAGCACTCTTTGTAGTCCATCCTTTTCAAGAAACAGAGACTAAAATGAAACAACTCCAGAGAATGACAGGAGTTACCTCTTTCTCATACTGGTTTACTATGTTTACTTTTGATTTATTAGTTCTTACAGGTATCATAATTGTTATTGTACTAGGATTTTATGCCATGGATATGATCTTGGATATACGCTTATATTACGTGATAGAAATATGTAATAATATAATATTAATAATTATTAAATGTATTAAGAATATATTTTTATATTTTTATTTTTTTTCAGTTACTATGATATTACTACTCTTTCTTTTTGGTATAAATTCTTTAATCATATCATATATCTTCAGTTTCATCAATAAATCAAGAAACACTATAATAACTGTTTTAAGTCTTGTACCTGTTGGATTTGGTAAGTTGCATTACATTACATTGTATCATAAAAATATGAAAAAAATAAAATGAGTAAACCAATATTTTTTTATTATATTTTAGTTTTATTTCAATATCTCTTACACGAAGTGATTCATAATTTTGATAAATTCAAAATTTTATATTCGATTCAGAAAAATCTATTTCGTTTGATACCTCATGTGAGCCTATTTCATGGTCAATTGTCTTTCTTCAATATAGCTATACAAAATGCGAGATGTCGTCGACTACCAAATCGATTGCAAGATGTAGTTTGTTTAGCTCTTTCGGATGTATGTTGCGGTACGAATTATTAATTATATATTTTAATAATTTTTCTATGTTGAAAATATTAAACATAAATAAGATCTTTTTTAGGTTTGGATTGTGCGGATGGAGTATGCAAAAATCAACTTTCTTATTTTTCTAATTATGATAATGACATGAGTTTGAAAGAATGTATTATTTATCTATCCTTCACACCATTAATGTATTTCACAATACTCATTATTTTAGAGGAACGTTTACCACATAAATTCTATGCTAAAATATTGAATAAAAATTTAAAGAATCCATGTGATATAAAAGATGATCAAGTAAAAAAGGAAAAACATGCAGTAGCGGTGGAAATTAGAAAATTATTAAACCGTGGTATAGTATTTTATAAATATTATTATATAGTTAAAATAAAATATTTATTTTATTAAATAAAAATTATATATTAAATATATTAAATAATAAAAAATAAAATTTATTTTAACTATATTGAATAAAGAATTGGAATGAAAATTTATTCGTTATTATTTATATTTAGATGAAGCAAAAAAAGTTAATAAGAAGAAAATTAAAACAGTTTCCACTACTGAAAATAATTTATTAGAAAATCCAGAAAATAACAAAGATAGTCTGTTTTTAGTTTATGAATTGAGCAAATATTATGGGAAATTAATGGCGGTACAGGAAATTAGTTTTATGGTAAAACAACGAGAATGTTTTGGATTACTTGGAGTTAATGGCGCTGGAAAAAGCACCACGTTTAGAATGTTAACTGGTGAAGAAATACCAAATAGTGGTATCATGTACTTAGGAAAATCAGAAATTAATATTAATCGAAAAGATGTAATGTATTATTATTCTTTTTTTTATATTTTTTTCTGTACATTATTTTTATTATATTTTTATGAATTTTTTATTTAGTATTTAGCTCAAATGGGATATTGTCCACAAACTAATGCATTGCTCAATTCCTTGAATGCATTTGATCATTTAAGATTATTTGCTTTACTTCGCGGTATTCCTAAATCAAAGGTGGATTTAGAAGTTAACAAATGGATTAATAGACTCGGTAAATTTATTTTTTAAAAATTACAAAATTTACTTTAAACAATTACAATATAAATTTTTATGAACGTGTTTGTTGTATCAGATTTAAATGCTTGCATGTATCAACCAACCAATACATATAGCGGTGGTAATAAACGACGTTTGAACGTTGCAATGGCACTTATTGGAAATCCGACTCTCGTTCTATTGGATGAACCAACGACGGGAGTTGATCCTGCGGCTAGACGATTGCTTTGGAATATACTTCAATCTTGCCAAAAAATGGGACAAGCTATTATACTTACTTCTCATAGGTATTTTATTTGATTCGATAATATATATTATTACAATTCTATTTAATAAATAAAAAATAATAAATTTAATAATAAAAAAAAAAATATTCATAATAGCATGGAAGAATGCGAAGCTTTATGCAACAGATTAGTCATTATGGTGAAAGGTCAATTAGTTTGTATCGGTGCAAGTCAGGAATTGAAACAACGATTCGGCGCTGGTTACGATATTCACATTAAATTAAATCCAAGTCGAACGGATGATGATGTCATTAATATAAAAAATATTATAGAATCATCTCTATTTTGTGAAATTAGAGACGAGAATTTGGTAAACTATATTTATGTGAAATATTTATAAGTGCATTTTATATAGTATTTACTAATATAATTTTATTTTTTAATTTGCAGGGACTCATAGCATATCATGTGAATGATATTGGAACGACATGGGAAAAAATGTATAATACAATGAACGATTTAAAAAGACAATACAGTTGTATTCAAGATTATGCTGTTTTATCTGCTACTTTAGAACAACTTTTTATTCAGTTTGCCAGAGGAACTGAATTAACAAAATCTAAAACATCTACTGTGGATTCCACTACACAAACAACAAATGTGTAAATAATACGCAATATTTTAACATAAAAAAATGAATTTCTTTATTAAATTATTTTTTTTGTAAATATAATTAAAATATTTCTTTCTGATATATGTATAATGTTAATGGCAATTTTTTAATTTATGTATAATTTTAAGTTATTTATTTGAATATATATGTTTAAACTCAAAAAAAATATTTTGTTATTTTTTTAAAATTTGTATTAAAGAATTTGTATTAAAAGTACAATTTACTGTGTATAATTATGTGTGTAAAGGTATAAAAATAAAAATTAAAAATGCATATGAAAATTCAATAACAACATTGTTAAAAAGGAAACAAAAATTTTAAATAATAGTGTAGGGAAAAAAAAATAAGTCATAAATAAAGTTCTCATATTTTATATAAATAAGAAAGTTACATAAACGATATATTCTTATGTACATACGTCCGCCTTTAAATGATATTATTGTAATGGAATAAGATTGATTCTATAATATGTAATGACTTATGCGGTGTCGTCTAGTAATGGTATCCGCCTGAACTTGTTTGGTACGAGTTTGGACCCTGATAAGATCCACTACTTCCACCTCCTCCTCGACCACCACCACTGCCACCTCCGCCGCCTCCGCCTCCTCCTGCTGTTAATAAAATTATTTAATTAATTTAATACTAATTTATCAAAAAAATGTATCGATTAAACTATTTTAATTATCAAAAAGTATTTTTTTCCAATTTTTTTCTAGTTCAAACAATCTTATCATCTACGCAAATATTTTGCAAAAATATCATCTATGAAACTCACTATAACGATCCAGAGCATATCCACCTCCGCCACCATTACCACCACCACCGGAAGTATCTTGATTTTCGCCTCTGGCTTCTGCAGCAAGAGCTAATTCAACACCTCGTTGAATTTCTGGTGGGATCGGAGGTGGAGTCGGTAAGTGCGCGCCTTGAGGGTGAAAACCTTCTTCGTCCGCGGTATAGGTGATGCTATACTGTACACCATCAGGCCCGGTATACGAGTATGATCCACTTACCGCTTCCGCGTTACCTAGAGAAGCGAAATACATGAATACTTGATGTAGCAGATGCTTGGCTAGATTGCGCCATATATCAAGAATTTTTGCGGCTTTCTAGCTTGTTAGTAACAACCACTGTTCGGTAATTATTCATCATTGACAGAAATTGAGACATTGGTTAGTTGTAACTATTTTCTATGATCTTTAATTCCTAATCTTTTTCAAATTTTGTAACATTTCTTTTACACAGATGCAGAAATCTCTTTTTTAGAAGTAAAATATCAAAAAAGAATGGAAAGAAAAGTACTGAGTGGAAATTACATTTGAGAAGTTGTAGTGCTATTGCATTCATCAGTGCTATCCCATTGTAAACGGAAAATGATTCGAGGTCGTGCACGATGATGGATAGGAATATTCATAACGGCAAGAAATGGTAGCGACGAACCGCGAAGAAAAGGAATGTAAGGAATACCATCATTGGGAACGAAAGTGGCCCTGATCTCACCTTGCAGGTGACCTGTTTCTTGCGCACTGATACCATTTCCTGTTTCGTAGCTGAATTGGTAGTTGCCGTCACCACTATTCTGATTGTTAAACGAGACGATAGGTATCTCTTGACCTCCTCCGGGTCCTCCTCTTGGTCCACCACCGCCGCCGCCGCCGCCACCAGCTGAACCATAAATTCAAACAAAATTTTCAAATTGTTAGGCAAAGTATTTTAACTCGGATAAAGTTTCGTTATAAAAATAACCGAGTTACCACAGACTTTGATTGACTCCAGTATCCTTTCTCTACAACTGACTTTTAGCAGTCCTGAGAAAGTTGATGATCGAAACTAGTCTCGGCGAAATGAAAAAAACTAGCATTCAAGCCAGCCAGAATTTCAAGTGATTCGAATAGAACGTACATCTCCCATTTTGTCGCATATAATCGACTTTTTATCGATCAACATATCTGTGCCATACACGAGATTACGACACACGAGGTGAAATCCGCGAACATACTCGAGATTAATCCATAAGTGAATAAGAACCTAATTACTCGGTCGGTCGCGACGAGACTGTACAAAAGACACAGAGACGAGACGCTTTGGTGCTATTTTCGCAATCCATCGAGAATTCTCACCATCGTCGAATCGTACGTAGATTCGAGAGTCTTGTTACTGGAATCGTGCCGGGTATCTTCATTAGAGAAGCGCCTCAAGGGATAAAGTGATTAAGTGTTTCGCGTTGAACCGCGATTTTCACTTTTCTTTCCATGATACGAAATGAGCTCTGGTTTCACAGCATATTTTACATATTTTTATGCAATTCGACCGACGAAATGTCTTTCATCATTTTCTTTCTTTCTTTCTTTCTTTTTCTATATATGATGTGATACAACAGAACTTTATAATCATTCAATAATTTTCTCTATGCACGTATTGTTGAAACAATGTTCGATAAATGTCTCGATAATTCCTTTCGTAAATTGAACAATTTGTTATATCAAATTTTTTTCATTTTTCATATGCATATCAAGATTTCCTGCGCAAGTTTTATTAATGTGTAAAAATATTCATGTTAATGAATTATTAGGTAATATTTTTAGTCAGAAAATTAACGAGAAAAAAGAATTAGTAAATGGTAGGTGTTGAACTAATATTCTGTTTAATATTCTTAATATTCTGTTACATATTTTTTCTTAATTGTATAACAAATATGCAAATACAAAAAATTATATTTCTACGTAGATTAGAATAACATCAAGAATAAGTTAAAGAAGAAAATAAGAAAATTTTAAAAACTTAAAAATTTTTATTTGTATAAAATTGAAATTTGATTAAAAAACGATAAAAAAATATTAATTTAATTTCACAGAAATTGTAATCTCATCTCGTAAAAGGCATGAAATTATTACATATTATTGCCTTTCACTCAGGAGAATCTGCTATTAGAAGTAGATAATAAAAAGAGATAACGATAATCGAACTCGAAAAGTCTTTTACATGATACTTTCAATAAATCTTAATATCATCATATAAGGAGACATTAAATTCTAATATGGAATAATAACCATATTATTATATTATTATAAGTTGCAATTTTAGTTGTTATGTTCGTGTTAAATATAGTAATTTATTATAAGGGAAAATCAATAATCTTGTCTGCTTTGTTGGAAATCATATTTAAAATATTTGATGAAGGAAATTGCAATAATTAGCAAATTTATAATATAATAATTTAAAATATAATTTTAATATTTTTGAAAAATACGTGCAAATAATTCAAACGATTTCCAAATTTATTATTTCGATTATATCGAACGATCGATTTTTCCGATAGAATCGATTTCATTTGATCATCGAATACTCGATTTATTATCGAATATTCTATCGAAGTCGAGGCAGAATGTGCAACAAGTAAATATTTTATAATTATATTATATTTATATATATATTATATTATATATATATATTATATATTAAAAACTAATTGAAAAACAATACTTACGACCTCCACCGTAGGCACCTCCGCCTCCGCCACCACCGCTATATGCTGCAAGTCCTCCACTACCACCGCCAAATGCTCCATGTCCACCTGATCCACCTGGTCCACCAGGTCTACCAGGTCCTCCTGGAGCACCAGGACGATTGGGAGCTTGTATTAATCCTGCACCTCCTGCAGTGCCTGCATTGCCCGGGGGAAGGTAAGTGTTGTCTAATCGGGCAGCGTAACACGTACCAACAACGGCCAATAACGCGATAGCGAGCTGTTAAAACAATTGTCAATACTTTGACTACTGAACGCAACACAAGGCAACGAGTCAATTTTTTGGAAAACTTAAAATGTTTTTAGATTATTGCAAAATTAAAATAGAACGTAATTTTTATCGTAATATCACTAAAAAATTCTTGTGAACACACTATGCCATATTTCACAGATTCTATTCAATATCAAGAAAAAGTATAAAGATGAATTATAATATTAGTAATTTTTTTTTAATATTATAATAATCTATGCTAAAAGATGCAATAAAACGTTGATTCGTATTCGATATCACTAACATGCGATTTTTCGAGAAATCGATATCAAAGACCGAAAGCAAATAGAGATACGCCATCTACCGCGGGAAAAAAACAGTCGTACTGTTACTCGTACCGATTTCATCTCGTTGACGAAATGCTCGATCTGTGTGAAAAACGAACCTCCCCGTTGATACTGGTCGCACAGTGCAACGTTCTATCGCCAAACGATGGCAATAATTGGTCTGTGCAGATTCAGGTCGGAGCAACCGTGCTTATATACCGATTCGTGGCCTCAGGATCGTCTTCCTCCCACCTAGGAGGAAGACTCTCAGAAACAGCATCAAGTCTGGTGAACACCCGGTGCAGCGTCCCTCAGCGAAGTTCGCGAACTCGGTTAACAAATGAGTGACAGAGAAAGAGTTTTAAGAGAAAGAAAAAGTAAAAGAAAATCGAGGGAGAAGGCTGAAAACGAGCTCTCGGTGAGAGATGTGGGATGAGAGGTTATTGCGCAAGCTAAGTGATACAGATCGGCGGGCATCTCTCGTTGGACCTGAAGGTCGGCTAATCGGGCCGACATGAAAGTGAACCGAGATTGTTATGTATAAGAAGTATAGACAGGCGAAGGTATGACAGCCATGGCTGTTAGAAAAAGAGAGGTTACCGTGAAGTGCCATATTTCGTTCGGTAAAGGACAATCGTAAAAAAAAAAGATAGAGAATAGCGTCTAATGGAGGTGACCGCGGCAGTCTTTCTGATATTGAAGATTGCGATTCAACTACGATTTAAGTTGCGTGTGTTCCATCTTTATAATTATATCGGTTATTTCGTGTTCGATATCGCAACAGTAAACACGGGGTCGTGCGACATCGTCATCAACATCCACGATAGATGGGATGGCTTATAGAGAGCAACGCACGCTCTGCAACCGCGCGCGATTATTGCGCAACCTGGTGCGTTGCGCATCAACCGATGGTACGTAATTTCACGTAGGTGTGCGAGCGTATACATATATAAGAGGCCGCTCCAAATCGTTTCTAGTGTTACTGATCAGCACGTAACTTTCCGCTTAACGATTCCTTGGGTCACAGTACTCACGCTCTAAGGCAGACGCCTCAACGTGATCACTTCCCAATAACCATCTTTTACCTCTCTCGTCTAAGTTGCTCCGATTTTGCCTTGGAACGGACCATCGCGAACAGTTTAGTTCCTTATTCAGACTTTTACCGAGTCGATTCGAAATGATGTGAACAGAAATCTCTTTAATCTTTACCAGAGAAAGATTTTTGATTTCTCCACGAACAACATCGTGATTAATCCTCCATGGTTTGTTGTGCTCTCCAGATGGATTTCATTATTTTTTTGATTGATCTTTTTACGAACATAGATCAATGATATTTTTAATCGTTTTTATATAAGTAACTTTTGAAGTTTATAATTAGAAAGCTTTCCATAGACGATCTTCATTACTGCAGTATAGAAACGTTAATTGATGTTGCGTTATTGGTGAGAAACATGTATTAGTTAGAATATGATTGCCGTGAGAATGTGTTCATCTCTTTGCTTGCCGTGTAAAGCGTGATAGCGAAAAAATTCACAAAAAAAACAATTGTTCATTTATTTAAATTTACAGTATTCCAATTGAGAGATCAATATCTATTTAAAGATCAATATTTCTAAATTGTATCCTTCCGAATACAATCGCTTTGACATCGAATCTAGTTATAATACACGTGTATTGCCCAAAGGGTGAGTGAAATGCTTTGCGTAATCGGTCATACTTTCTTTCTATGATGCTTATAATAAGTTTGTGAAAGAAAGTTACTGAACTGATGAGGTAATCTATCTCACTCCCCCAACGAGTTATCTCAGTGTGCTGCTTGCAGTTATGTAAACTCTTTAATTTCTAAAATCGATTTATGTGCCTTTCGCAGACTCGCATTGATGATTCGACAAACCGACTTGTACCGAAGCACAAGTAAAATCAGTTCTATGGAAAACAATAAATTACATCGGTCTTTCCCATGCATTTCTCATCTCATTGGTAAACGTTCAGCCTTTGCTCCACTAGCTTCACAATCTTGAAGGGTAAACGGAATTATGTTTCTCAGGTAAACTCCATGGAAACTAAATTGTGATTTTATTTCTATTTCTATATCCACATTGTTCCATTTATTCAGTTACTAAATTCTTTAAATTTGATTTCGACAAATGATTGTTACAGCTAACATTGGAAGAGTTAATCAATCTCACGGTAATAAATTCAATCCGTGCTATATGGATATTCTGGAATCGGATCAGATAAAGAAGATGTCAAGAATCGAGGAGACATTGGACAGAATATAAAAATCAGCATGATTTGATGATCGATAGGATCAGTGAGTTGTAAGTCGATACGAATTAACTGGTGTAGGGGTGCGGCTCGCGCAAAAAAACGGGGCAATCGTGAGTCTCGATAATAGGATACTACGATCGTTCGAGACAATGTATATCTTAGCTTGAGAAGAATAAACTGAAAAGAATAGACTTGGATGCTTTCTAAACGGATCGAGTCTCCGAATACACCGATACGCTTTGAGAAGACCCAGCCCTTTGCCGCGCTATCCGTACATTCATCTATCTTGCTGCTCGTGTTATGCCAGAGGTGAGGTTCATCGGTGAAACACTTCATCGAGAATTGTTCCGTTGCAGTCTCGACGCTCGTCGAATCGCTCTAACGGTGGGCGCTGTCTCCAAAAAAGGATCGTGCATGAGAAGACGAGATCCTAGCCGAGTAATAAGCGATCTATGCTCTAATGTTCCATCGTTCTTCTAGTTGAGACACCTGATCTTCTCGGTAAAAGCCGAATATGGTGTTACTGATAGTTTTATAGGAGAAACAAAAATTTTTTTTAATCCTTTCTTAATATTAATATATATATATATATATATTATTTTTTTTAAGAATAGATTCTATTATACTTTTGTTCTTGTGTTTTTCTTCCAAAAAAAAAAATTGAATTCTTTAGAATATCGGATATTTTATTTCGTTAAAATATTTATCAAGATTGTATGACTAAAGTATACTATGAATAGAATATCGTTATTTGCAATTCTGTTGTAGTTTAATGGATTAGGAAACATTAGATATAGGTTTGATAGGTTAGTTAATTGCAGCTATGAACACAGTATGGCATATGCATATGTAAAGAGAAACAATTTCATATCCTATTGCCGCGAGGGTATTCCCGTAATCAGAAATATATTCCCGTCGTCAGAATAATCAGACGACAATTCCAAATCAACTTTCTCCCCAGTAAGAATTCTAAGAGAATAAGACACGAACGAAAATTGCGGAAGCGGCTCACACGTCGTTATTGAATAATGATCTCGAACGGGAGGGACTGCACGCATAATGCCTCCCTACTATCGTCTCGAGTCTTGCTTTGTTACGATCTTACTAGATAGATGATTGCACCATTTCGAAAGACCCACATAGAGGTCGACAAAGGGGGAAAATATTTTTGCGGTTTAGATAGTTCTTGATGCAACCATGTGGACGCAATGATAACAGGGAGCATGACGAAGTAGATGAGCACGCATTTCCCGCGACTAAACTATTTTCTCGCAATTCTATGCAACAACCTGATGCAACTGATGAAGAATTCTTGTGTATTGGAATTCTTAAAATACGTATTAGTATATACTTTCATCCAGGATATCGAGCGTACTATCGTAATAGTCGCTTTTCGTTCACAGTAATATGTAAAATTTAAACATTTCTCTTTCTGCTTAGATGCCTTTAAGCAATGATCAAGTTGAACGATGTAATTGACCAGGATAAAGATGATAGAAGGATTAAAGAACAAAGGAACGTTAAAATTATCTTTTGTTAGAGATTACCACTGATGAATCTTCTTCGATGGAATTTGAAAACATATCGCAATTATTTGATCCGGGATCCTCCACGATCGACGCGATCGAGACTAACCGAGATGTCGTTTTCTCGATTTAAAAGGGTCATCTTCTGAGTGAGCGAGTGAATGGATACTCACGGTAGCACACTCTGAGCCTTCTCTTCGTGAGTTGGCTCATGGTTACGAGGAAAGAAAATATAGTTCAGTCTGGTTGCATAATGGAATAGAGGTGCATCACATCGGCTCGACTGAGGTACTTTGAGAATCTATAGTAACGGCGAATATTTCTTCTTCTAGCGTCAATACTGACCTTTGAAGCTGAAGGCACAAGCTGAACGCTTGTATTACCGCTGTTCGTTGAGGGTAGGGGTGCAGTCATGCTGTAACGAAGATGAAAACCATTAGCCCCGAGCTATGGAGTTAGATGATCTAATTTCTAGTATATAGTTTGTATACCGACACCCGGACTCGACCTGTTCACCTTGGATGCTGAGCAATATATAAAAGCAAGCCCTTCGACTCATGAACTTAAAACGATGCTCGACTGCATCGTTAAAGCATGAACTATATAAAATTAATTTAATCGGTTTGTATAATGTTTGATTTTATGATAAATTTAAGCTGTCAATTTTTATAATTTTCATAATTCAATTTGAAATATGAGAAATATTTTATAAAAGATAAAAGAAAATCAATTTTTTTTATTATATTTATTTAGTAGGAATATATATTTTTTTTAATTTATAACAGTAATTTTATCCCTCTTACATATTTAGTAGATATTTCACAAATACATGCTAATTAAAATCGATGTGATCTTAGATCTAATTAATAGTGATGCAGGTGATTAGAAGTAACATTCGTGTTTAATTTAATTAGAACGTTAATTAAATAGTAAGTTACAGCGAAGCTCAGCACTACATTCTTTTCAGTGTAACATATATTTTTCTTATTAATCATTTTTACTATTCATTTTGAATAAAATGTTCTTAAATATTATTGATTTACAGAATTACTTCCTAAAATATTTTCTATAGAAAATATATATATTTTTCAATATTAATTTTTAATAAAACAATAAATTGTATATGAAGTTACCTTTTTTTTTAATTTTTTTATGTTTTTTGTCTGTGTTACCTTTTTTTTTAATTTAAATATGAGAATACATATAATATATGAAACTGAAACAAAATTATGCACGCGATAATACTATACATGAGAAACAGTATCTCTTTTGTATCTCATCTATGATATTATGGATGAATGGAAAGTTGCTATTTCAGTCTGTTATCTACGAATGGTAAATCGCATGTTTTTTAGCACAAATGATTGATCTATTTTTTAAATATATTTTAAATATATTTATAAAAGTTATAAAACTTAATAATAAATAAATTGAATTTTTTCGAAACTATAAAAACATGTAGAGACTAAAGTTTCAAATATACAATTATATAATAACTATTAATATATAATATAATATTCAACATTGTAAATATAAAATTATTAAAATTATTTTATTTTATAAAATTTCAAAATATAGAAATCATTTTTCATGTTCATTTTTCAATAAAAATTGTATATTTATCTCAGATTTAATTGTGTATTAAATTTGTATTATTGTAAAGAAAAATATTGCTACATATAAATTACAAATAAGAATCTAAAAATTGCTAGATTAGAATAACTTTGATAATTGAATGTAATTCCTAAATTCACCATTTAAATTATAGAGGGCATTGTAAAACATTTGATTTTTCGGTACGATCGGTATTTCAGAACATGGGTCACAAAATTCCCCACAGTATGATAGATCTGTTCTACAGCTTGTCTGTGGTAGAAGTTCGTGTTTTATAGAATGGAAGAACCGTTATATCCAGTTTTTGTGAATTATTCAGTTACTGAAATTCCAGAATTTAGTAATTATACATTATTCAACCGAAATGGAAGAGGATCGAGAGCAGCAGCATCCAAATAACATTTTTCTATTTCAACTTGGAGTTTCAAATAGCTTTAAACGCATTGCAGAATCAGTGAGGTAATTAATTAATTATTTCAATACTTAAATTAAAAATATCATTTTTATTGTCTTGTTGCACAAACGAAAAAAATATTTATCATAATTAAAATAAAATATATTATTTTTATTTTAAAATATGTTATATTAGAAAATAATGTTTAGAGGTTATGCAAGCTGTCAGCTTGGCGTTCCCGGTTCTTTTAGATACATAGATAGGCGCACGCGCAATCAATTAACATTTAAATCCAAATTATAAATTTTTAATATATATAAATATATTAAAAAAATATATTGATAATTATTATGAAATAAGAAGAGTTTCACTGATTTTTATAATTTTTGAATATGTTATTTATAAAATCAATATTTTGAATAACTTTTTTTTGTTATCACCGCTCAGCTTTTCTCAAAAAAATTGCATAAAATTTTTACGTATATTATTCGCAATTACGCGTGCATAAGGATACGATTTATCTTCTGTTAGTATAAACACAGCGACAATAGTCAATCAAGATATATAACGAATGAATTAATAAAAAATTTTAAACTAATTTTCTTATGAATTATGATAAATTAAAATGTCTCACATCCAATATAGAGTTTGAGCATCGTTCGTATTTGCAGAATGCAAAAATAAAATATAAAACAATTTTTGAACAACCGACAACGATATTACAACGATAAATAATATTCATTATAACTTTAATCATTATAATTTCGATCCAAGAGGATGAATTTTATATTTTATTTTTGCATTTCGTAGATCTGAAGAATGTTCAAATTCAATTATATATTAAATCTACCATAATCCATAAGAAAGCTTCTTTTATAAAATAAAGCTTTCTGTTATATATTTTGGATACTGTTTATTGTAATGTATTTATAAAAATAAATAAATAAGTGGTTGTATATTTATGCATGTACAATTAAATATATATATATATATATATATATGTATAAAAAAAATGCCATTAAATAATAACAATCTTTTTTTTGCAAATATCTTGAAAATTAAGGCTGATAATATATAAAGGAAAAAGTTGTTTAAAATTTTATATTCTGTACATTCTAAAAATCACTTGTTGAGAACCTTGTTATTTCAAATAATTTATAATATTTTTTCAATATTAATGTTGAAATATAAATTGTATTTTAAAAAATAAAGTTGTAATATACAGTAATCGAAAATTTAAAATATGTGGAATGCGAATGATTTATTATACGAAAATCAAGTTTGGTTATATTATCGTTGAATTTCAGGTTATGTTTTCGCGTATGTTTGCACGATAACAGTACTAGCAATATATATAAGTGTGTCAAGTACGAGCCGCGGTTAAGAATGCTGTTTTAATTAAGAAAACCAAAGAGAATGCATAATCAGTGGGAACCATGTAAGATGTAGTAGTAATATATTTTAGTGAGCATGATGCTTCGTTTATCGGCGGTAAAAAAGAGGAGGAAGAGGTGATGAAAGAGAAGGAGGGATCACCAATGACCCAAACGAACGATGGTGTTACTCGATGTCATTGGCCTCTCTGGAAGTCGTATGTTAATTTGTCGGTGTTCACGTGGCTGAACAATTGTCCATTGGTGTTTGATAGTTCTGTAGGCGCAAGTCGATTTTCAAAATTGGTTCCCTTCGATTCTGGCTTCCCAGAATTTGCCGCTCTTTGAAACCCAACACACTAGTTGACCTTCGAAGAATTCCACGAACTGTTCGAGGAAACAAAGGGTCCCTGGTGTGGTCACCATCGTTCGGCTCCATCATTCGTATAGTACGTGTCGTGGGGATCGTACGGGTGCTTCTGTTCGTCCGTTATTCTCACGTTAAAATAGCTTAGTGATGAACGTGTTTTACGACTGAAGTATTCATTATTTTCATTATTTACATGCTTTCTTTTTTTTCGATTCTACAATTTTCTGTTCCGATGTGAAGATTTATGGTAAGATTTTTTTCACAATGATCTTATAAAAGTGATCAAATTAAAATTTGGCGAAATGAAGAAACACGAAGCGTATTCAATTAGGTCAGGACTAATGCAAATATGTAGTATCGACATCAAATTGCACCCGTCCCGGCCTGATTGAGTGCGCATAAATCAACAGAAGAAGAATCAAAGGTGTGGTCTTTATGTTCGTAATTTCCTGCACTTCCCACAACTTATATAATATTATATGTTTAAATGTATCGTATATAAATCTATAAAATTGTATGTAAATTACAAGTTTTTATGTAAATTTTCTTTGTAAAAATATTTAATTTTTTCTAAAGTTAAATTGTATTAAATAAGTTAAATAATTTAATCTTTTGTATTTTTATGATTAAAAGGAATAAGTTTTATGTTTATAATCATATGTTTACGAAAAATTTACGGAAATTGTGTAATGCGATTACGAATTGTATGCTTGTAATACTACTACGAAACTGGATTGGCTTGTCCGAATACTGGTTCTTCCCCCATTCAATCGCGCGAGTCTTTATGGACGGTAAACAAAGAAAAATTTGATCTCGGCAATAGTAGAGCCACGTCATATAATGATTATTGAATGCATAATTTATTTAACTTTATTTCATTTTATTTAAAAAAATAATAAGTATTATTATTTTCTTGTATTATTTTATATATATATATATATATATATATATACACAACAATCTAA